GGCTACAGACCAATTTTTACCATTAACTTTTCAGCCTCAAGTCAGAAACTCTCACAAAGATTGCATGAGACCTTTAAAAATCCCCCTGCAGAGACAGAGGTTCATCTCCATGCATCATTGCAGAATGGCAGGAGGAAGGAGAAAATTTTGAGTCTTATTATGCAACTAGTGAGGAGTGATCATGATTTTCTTTCAGTAAGCTGTCAGATGAGCCACATGTTATTCATGACCTACAGTGATTTTTCACAAAGCTGCCAGTGTACAAAATAGTGTTGTATGATATATCCTGATCCAGATTAGTTTTACTTAGTTTTGCTTTTTTTTCCCCCTTTTCCTTTTTTTTATTTTTCTTTTGACAAGGCAGGGCAAGAATGCTTTGAAAGCAGTCCTGCCGCAAACCAGTTTTCAATAACCTAAAATAACCTAAAATCCTGGGATAGTGTATTTTCAAAATACAGGCATAGTGTATGTCAACCAGACCTTCTAGCTGTGGAGCAGGTAATCAAAAGAAGCCTTCTGCAAACCTACTTGAGATGAATAGATTAAAAAGGGGTTGGCCCGCGTTCGGAAATAAGATTATTTAAGCAAACTGGGACTGTGTCATTGAATTTTTGAGGGGAAACTTCTTTCTTATGAGCGTGACAGAGCACTGGCACAGGTTGCCCAGAGAGGTTGTGGAGTCTCCTTCCCTGGAGATATTCAAAACCCACCTGGACGCGATCCTGTGCAACGTGCTCTAGAGGTCCCTGCTTAAGCAGGGGAGTTGGACTAGATGATCTCCAGAGGTCTCTTCCAACCTCAACCGTTCTGTGATTCTGTGATTCTGTAATATTTTAAAATAAGTGAAAAGGAGCTTAGACAGAAGGGAAAGCAAAGATCCTCTGGGAGCTTTAAAATTTCAGGGTTCTGCTTTGGATCATTTAGATTAGGACTGGACACGAACAGTATAAACTCTGGTGCAATTTTCACTTTGATAGCAAATTGGGCAAATCACCAAAGGACAAGTCATCTTGGCTGCCAAAGGAGAGATGAGACAAGCAGGTGAGATGTGCGTGCCAGCAGTCTCACAGGGCAGGAGAAATGCATTTTGAAGAAGACGTGCAAAATATAATACCTTCCCAACAAAACCAGAGAGATTAAACTGAGCAAATACGCTTGCTTCTTAAAATAAACCAGTGGTTAATGGGCATTCGGATTTGTTGTGTAAGATCCCGAGTGTAAGTTCGTCTCTGTTCGTGCTTCTCTTTTCAGCTCGTGTGACCCTGGTATTTAGGGTTAATTGAAGAAGACTGTACTACATCTAAATGTTTGTAGCCGAGGTTGACTAGCGCTGAGATCGAACACTAATCATGTGTCTGCCAAGGAGAGATTTGAGAATTAAAACTGGACGTTAACCTTATACGGATGCGGAGGGAGAAAGCTTCCTCAGGCCAAATGAATAAATTGGAAAAAATCCTTTGGAGAGGGAGCCTTTAACGGATGCCGTGGCATGCTTAGTCCGCTGTCATCACAGAGTTAAAAACTGATACAAACTCGAAACAATTTGGCAAGAAAAATAATGGGACCAGTCAGGATCTGTCATCAGCATACTGGCCACTGCAACAGAGTGATTAACTAGGAAGACACAGACAATTATCAAAGACTAATTGCTTATTGTTGCTAGAACTATATTTTAGATGTTTTTTTTCTTTTTAATTACTTTTGGAACAAATGAAGTGTCCTTAATTCAATTGTAGAATGGTTGGGAATGGGAAGCCTGCCATGAATCAGGCAGCTCAGAGGTCTTGTGAAAGCGGTTGCCTCTTTAAATAGTCCATATTCATGTTCAGTCATCCCATCCTCTGCCAACTTTCCTGTTTTCAGGTCTGCGCTCTGATGTGAGTTGAAGGTCTCCGAGTTGTAGTTGCTTGTAGGAAGTTTCCCTAGTTTGTCAGTATCTTTTCCGGTATTTTTATTCATCCCTGTCCAAGGGCCTTGATCCAAAGAGGAGCTTCAGGCCCATAGTGGTTTTGAACCCTCAGGAGCTGAGTTTTCTGAGCGCTTTCCAGGACAGGGCTTGCACTGGCTGACAAGGTGAAATACTGGCATAATTTGAATCTATGATCTGTACGAACAGCTGTATACCTCTGTACCTGGCTTTACTATTGACTGTAAAGAAATTATGCAGGGGATAAATCTGGCTCAGTGTTTTGTCAGGACAACAATGAACGAACAGGAGGATGTTGTTCCAAATGAAGATGCTTAGGTTTGGTGTCAGGAGCAGATCCAAAGCACACAGAGTAGATTTCATGCAAATAGATATGAGGCTCCTGTGTTATTAAATACTCACTCAGCGTTGTCTTAATGAGAATGACAGGGAACGCAGCTTTTATATTCATTGAAATATCTCCGGCATGGATGTATTGAGCTCTGAAAATACTGCAGGACCTTGTAATGGACAAACAGATGTTACCCACCCTGTTTCTCTGTGTGTAAATAATTTGCGCCGTCAGTTTGGAAAATGAAAGGGAGTAAGTGGGAACAAAGGAAGCAGAAACAATGTTTAAGTTCATTTAGTGGTGAAGGTACATAGAAAAAATTCAGGCATTCTGTTGTGTTACAAAAACACCTGCAAGCTCCTATAAGCAGCTGGCTTAAATAACCACAAAAAGTAGGCTGCTAAAGCTGCTGCTGATCTGACACGCAACAGGAAAGAAGAGGCAGGATATTCGCTTGATTGGAGACTGGCAGAAGCAGCTTGTACTGTACACTGAATTTATCTATACTACAGGTTTTTGCTCAATTTTGATCTCTCTTCCGTTTATATAATATATAAAACTAGAATTGGACTGAATTGTTCAGTCTCTTTCTAAATGACTGATTCTTTCAATCTTCTCTGTGCACTTCCAAGTTCCTTGCAAAATCCTGCATAAACATTCCTGCAGTAAGGTAGAAGAAGCTCCAGACAGCATTGCTGGCCCTTTGATCGCTCTTTTAGGACAATTAGAAGCAAAACTGGCCTGGGTAGGCATTTTAATCAGCACTTTAGATTTGGTGAATGCAAAATACCTGAATCATTCTGAGACTTTCACTGCAGCAGCTCTGGCTTGGGCTCTCGGTTTTTGGCTTTCCTCCATTGAAGTATTTGATGCACCTTATCTGGGAAAGTCAGCGGTATTGCTCTTCCCTCCGTCTCAGACTCCTGCTCTCTTTACCAGTGTACAGATCGAGAGGAAGAAAACTAGCATTTTTGAGCAGTTCTAACGGCATAAGAAATAGTTGATTGACTAAAATTCCCTGAACTATCCCACTGCAGCTGAGCAAGGCTTGTTTTGCTGGGCTTTAAGATCTGTTTTACCTCTTGCCTGAGATTTATGTACTCCTCTGGGCATCTCTTGCCTTGGGTTTTGTTGACCCTCTCGTCTGTGCAGAGCAACATCTCCGAGAGGAGTTTGCTCAAAGTCTCGAGCCAGGTTCTCAGCCACGGTGAATGGTGGACGCCAGTGCGTCCACATCAGCTGGGGGTTCCACCTCCAGCTTAAAAGCTAATATCTAATGGAAAATTCTCCATCCCCCACTGTAACGATGAGTAGAAATGCCATATCTTCCTGTGCAGCTTGTTTTTTAAAATCAGCCCAAACTCGAGTGAAGGGTGTAAACGCTACAGGAGTATATATTTTCATTGAGAAAAACCAAGTATTTATATGCGTTTTTCCAAATTAAACTTTCACAGCAGTGAATGAGGAGTTGTTTGTGGAAGACCAATTAGCCACGACTGTGGGCTCTGAACGTGCAGGCAGGGCAATGAGTTGCCAGTGCTCAGAGGGAAACCTGACAGAGCAGCAAGAACAACTTACTGTCTGTTAATTTGAGCAGAATAAATAACATCGAATGTTAATAGCATTTGGTGTTCATTTCCAAGTTGCTCCTTTGGGCAATGTAGACAGAAGTGTGCCTAGCAGGTGATGTTAAAAGATGTTTTTCTTGTGGAATAGTGGTTGTCTTGCCTTTAGTAACGTTCATTCCCTTTTCTTGAGCGTTTTGAGATCCTGAAAGCCAGACGCTGTATGAATTCTGATGTGTTCTTTCCATGTAATGGTCTCTCAGCTTTCCTGTGGTGTCAGCAAGCATAGCTCATAAAGCGGACGATGAATCGTTTTGCCAGCTACGAGGCGAGTTCATAGAGATCGTGAAAGGTTTGTCTGTGATCACACAGGAGTTGAGAGCCAAAGCAAGACCTCCTGATCTCCCTTCTCAGTGGCTGGTATTAGCCTCATCTCCTGCCTTCCTGAATGGAAGAAAAAATGTTTTCTCCCGTGGTAGGATAATCCCTTAGAGAACGTCCTGAAGATTAAATATACAGCACTTCCTCGGGGCTGTCCAGCATGAGTTCATAGATGGTGGCTTTCCTTTCTCCAGTGGCCATCAAGCATTACAGAGTAGTGTTGGCACACAAGGATGCCTCCTGTAACGGCCATGTGCAGGTAAATGAGCAGGAAAGGAGAAAGAAAGAAAAAAATCTTGGCCTATTAAAAGAAGCTTGGCTTATTAAAAAAGAAGCTATTGGCTTATTAAATTACCTAGAAGAAAAAAAAAAAGATTTAGCTTTTAATTAAAAGGCGATCGTTAGGTCTTTGTGTTGTTTTCCCTGACAGCCAGCCATTCTGCTTCGAGCTCTTTTTATGTAATTTATGTGCGGCTGTTTGCGTTAAACTTGTTCCTTTCTAATTTTCTGAAACACTCCCTATCCTGCATCCGAACCTGTGGAAGAGGGAGACACGGCCACCACTGTCTTCTGCGCTAGCGACTGTATCATATGGTTCAGAGCGACGGTGTGCTGGAGCCAGCGATGATTCACCCGCGCAGCAGTGGTGTGAGCAGTCACAGCTTCCCTGCGCCATCTGCGTTGGGGAGCTGAATCTGCAGAAACCGCACATGGCTCTTCCTCTGTTCACGGATGACAATATTAAAGCAAACCCGTATGGTCCGTGCGATGTTTTCTGTGTCAGGAAGGGAGTAAAGCTGCCTGGCAAGTCAAGCTGTTCTCGCTGATGAGAGGGGGCTGCTCTCAAGCACGCCTTGCCTTGCCATCGTATTTTGCACCACAGCCCGTGTGTGTTTTCTCCTTTGGCATTTCATCGAGATCCTTGGCTTTAGTGCGGCAAGAGGGAAGGGTGAGGCTAGGAAGGTAGGAAATAATTAATCTCTCAATGTGTACACAAGCGTGTGTGCACACATACTTTTAAATCAGTCTTAAATGATTTTTTTTTTTTAGGAATATGAAAGAAAATTAATCTGGATGAGTCAGGCTTAATTACTTCCCTTTTGTCTGGATTTTCTATTTTTACATGAAGATATTGAGAAGCAATGCTCCGAGCTATTATTAGATGCAAAGGTGGAGACAGAGGGCAAAGGGTTCATTTATAATTCTTGCAGCAGAGAATCAAACGTAAAGCTGAAAGGCGAGTGGATGAGCAGCTTGAAAGTAGCGATTCATCCACTTAGTTCACTGAGTATTGCTACAAGTTCGTGCTGGTCTGGGGAGCTAGCAGTTCCTACAGCTCTAAGACCTCTGGCTGAAGCCACCAGAAAAAAAAAAAAAAGATTATTTTTCTTAATGAAAGAATTTACCTTGCGGAGAGGCTTGAAAACATAAACTGATATAAACTCATGAACGGATACAAACTCATTACTTTAGAAAGAAACAACTGGACTTCTATGGCAGGAAGTTGGGAAATACAGTGATTATGTGGGAACACACACACATATTTCTGTCTTAAAAAAAAATTCAAGTTGGTTAAGCTTAGCGTGTATCCCAAATAATGACTGCTGCCTCACTTCCATATTCTTCTATATCCTGCATGAACCCATTTGATCACGTTGGCCAAGAGAGCCCATAATTTTAGGGTGCGCCGTTGCAAAACAAACCCGAACCAAGAGAGTATTTCTAGCGCTTTCCTAAAATGCAGTGCTGCTTATAACTTCCTCTCTTTCTCATCATCATAAACTGGGCATCTCGTTTGGGAAGAGAGGTGGTGGCATGACACCAGCCCAGCTTTTGGAAAATGATAGCTGCAGCGCGAGCACCGCAGGATTTGTGTCCTCTCTCTGACCACCCTCTTGTGTCTGGGACTTGCTGCTGCGCTTGGTCAGCAGCTTTGGTCAAGGAGGCGTTTTCACCCGGGGCAGCTCATCTTTCTTGAACCAACCCCTGGAATTAATGTCCTCTTCTGAACTTGTTTCCTTGTTTCTTCTCTGTTACTGGCTGGGGTTTTTTTTGTTTTTTTTTTGTTTTTTTTTTTTAGTTGCTATGCTAAGGTTTGTTCATTTTGCCAGGCTAAAGGGCATCACAACAACGTGCATCGTTTTGCTGGTTTTCTTCTAAGCCAACAGAAGAAAATAAGTTAAAAAAAAATCACTTTGGTGCCAAATGTTTTTTCTCTGTAAGTTCCTGAAGCATAAAAAGAGAGTGTCTTTTCTTGAAGAGGGGATATTACTAATGTAAATCCAGTGCTGTCGGCACAGGAATAATATGCTGTATGTCATAAGGCGAGCGACTGAGGAGGAGCTGGAGTGATTGAAATGCCTGCCCCGTGGGTGTATGAGATTGTGGGGAGAGGTATTCACACAGAGCATGCTTTCTTACATGTGCCCAGGGCTTTTTCTTATCTCTGAACATGAACCCATAGTGAAATAGAAATGTTGCTGTATTAATAGTGCATCAGAGATAACCTTCATCTGAAAAAATACAGTAATACTGCACAACTGGGAACCTTTCAGAGCGAGGAATTGGACTAGCAATTTCCTAGTGCGTTAGTAATGAAACATTTTGGTTCTGTATAAGCAAATGGGCAAGGTTAGTGGACACATTACTCCAACTGTCATTGTCCCAGCAGTAACCAATTTAGAGGCTTTATATCTTCTGCTTTCCCAGTAAGGGAGAGAAACCCATGAAAAGTATAAATGTAAAAATAGAAATCCCAGAATGAATTAAAGCGGAAAGTGTGAACAAGCTTGTAGTACTGCTGTATAATTTGAAAATCCCATTTTTCCTGGACCTTAATATATGTATTAGATATTGCAAATTCTGGCAGTGTCTGTCCTTCTCCGAAAGGTCGCCTCCTAACAGGAGGATTTATTTCTGGCTGTAACATGTGACATGTGCATCTAGCACTGGATCTGCAGAGCTAATTTGTGCACATGATTCCTGTTTGTAGTTCCCCTCCCAGGATGGTGTTGATGTGCAGGAGAAGCATGAGAAAGAAGGGCAGCTTCATCAGAGCCAGCCTGTGGCTTGGCCTGCAAGGGAGAGCGAAAGGAGTTGCCGCCTTTCATTTCTGGGCTGGAGCCAGGGCTGATACCAGCAGATGGTACCACTGGAGGTGCCGATCCCTCCAGACCTGGTGGGAGAGGACCCCAACACCAGCCGGGAGAATTCAGCTCTTAAAAAAAGAGATCTTCTGGTGCGTGTGTGTAGGAGATCATAAACATTTTTTTCATACTTCTTTCAACAGCTGTGGACAGACATCAGGCCTTCTTAGAAGAACTGGTTGCTTAAAGTCGTTTCCTTGCAGCACTACCCTACCCAAAGGGTGGGAGTCTTGCTCTGCCTCTGAGGGAGCGCAAGGAGGGAATCACACATGTGAGGCTGATGCTTACTGCAAGAGGAAGGCGTCAACACTCTGCGGGACTGGGTTGTCTCTCCTAATGTTAACTGTTTTGCACTCTTATGGTTCAGGTTGCTTTTTGCTGTTAGGTTTCCTAACAACCAAAGTTAGTACCGTTTCTAGATCCAACGTAACGTGGAATTGTTTTCTTGACTTACAGATATCCTTGTTGATGGAAAGCTTTGCGACTGTGATATCGTGGTAGACTGCAAAGTTGGGGACCCTGTCCCGTTGGAAGTGAAGCTGACCAACTGGAGCAAACACAGCGTGGGCCCTTTTGCTCTCACGGTGACACCGTACCAGGATTACCAAAATGGGGTGCACAACTATGAGCTGCAAGATGCTATCACTTTTGTGGGATCCAACACCTTTTACATCGATTCGGTGAGTCTATCTATTGGATAGATCATGCTTCTGGATGGCGTGCATCATGATGAAAGCCATATGCCGAAGCAGATTGCCAGTGTGTCTTGCTTTGCCTTATCAAATTTTTTTAAGAGGTGACACCGACTGCCTTGGAGAAGGAGTTCTGCCATATCGTCATGCAGATTTCCTTGTGCTGTCCTGGCAAATTGCTTTAATCGTAACTTAAAGTTAATCATAAACTTAATTATAAGCATCCTGAAAAGTAGTTCAGCTTTATTCCTCATGAATTCTAGGGCTCTGTTAAAACCTTGTTAAAAGTTTCAGTATTTGGTTGTGCATTTTAAGGCAGGAGGTTAATTTTCAGAAAGTACCAAAATTACAGCAGCTACCGCTGAAGATGTTGCTGGGTAGGAGCATATAGAATCATCTCCCTGAAATGGTCTAAGATTGTAATTTCCTATGACATAAACCACTAGTAAGCTATCCAAGAGAGTAACTTTTGGTCACTCTAGATCTGACTAGATGTGAATGGGTAACCTAGATAAAATGTTTAATACCATATTGCCAGTCCCTTGGGCCATTCAGTCGAGCCTGCAGTAATAGATTTTGAGTAACTTTTTCTCTCTAGCCCAGGAGAAATATTCCCTAGACTGAGCAGAGGAGCTCAGCAAATCAGTTTTAGTCCGGTCCTGAGGAAATGTGAAAAGAAAATGCTAGACATTAATGACCAATATGATGAGCTCGTTCATTTACTTGTCACTTAGCATCCTCTTATAGAACTATATAGAAAAATAAAAACATAGAAAACATGTTTAAAGGAGGCCAAAAAGTTTTTTTTTTTAATAGAAGAATTGAGGTTTCTCACAAATACATCTTCAGAAATGGCCTGTCCAAGAGTTTTTTGCTTGTAAGGCAAAATACTGAAAATTCTTCCCAGATACAACTACTCTGTTCCACATCGTTCCCCAAAGAGCAAAGATAACAAAAAAACAGAGGAATGAAAAACATAGGGAAAATATTGCAGAGTGGAAAAAGCAGTATTTCTGGTACTTATAAAATAAACATGAAGAAGAGGGTGATTGTGTGGGATAGTGCTTAGGACCGTTGCTTAGGTCAGCTCTTCAGTTAGCTAATAAAATACACCTGTCAAAACTGAATATTTAAGTGAACCTTAGTAAGAAAGAAATTAAAGGCTAACCACAGGGATAGTCATTGTGCACATTTTTCAGTTATGCTTCCTGTGAAGAAAATATTTAAAAAAAAAAAAAAACTAATGAGCACAGAATACACCATCAACTTGAATTTTAATGGGTGCTAACCATATTCTTCGCTGAATAATTTAGATATGTCAACAGAAATAATCAAGAGATGGCTTTCTTTGACTATCTTTATGACAATGTGGATTTTTTAATCAGAATTGCAGTGTTTAGATGGCCAGCTGCCAAAGGGGCTGACCCTGAAGGCTAATGAGGGAAAAGGGAGATGTCAGCCTGATGTGTTCCTGCCGTCTGATTGAGTCTTTGATGGGGCAAGAAGTCAGGAGGTCACATCTCTTCTGCCTGCCCAGGTGGCCTTCTCATACATTACGGGCCCCACATTTGCCTCAGTGTTCAGGACTGTGACATTTCTTCTGTAAACACAGTCCCTGATAAGTTAAAAATAGAGTTGGTTCCTGCTGTTTGTCCTCCTTTTCATTCAAAAAGGAGGAATGAAGAAAATGTTGACTCTTAGGCAAGAAGTGTTATATTTCACGGTATATAGTGTTGATACTTGTCTTCCACAGGCTCCCCCAGAAAATACTTAGTCATATTTCTGTGAAGCAGAGAGCGCTGATGATGGAGGAAAATTCTTCAAACAGTGTATCTAATGTTGTCAGAGGCCCTTTCATCCCCTGTAATAACTAATTCAGTAATGGAAAAAAGATTTCAGAAAGCAGCACCTGGTTTTGGGACAGGAAGAAAGTCCTGGTTTGTGTGTTTGATGCTTCGGGGAAGAACGAACATACTCAGAATTGTGTTAATGCTCTGAGTTTGGCAGGAAGTCAGACAGACGCTGGTTGAGAAACTGAAGAAGCTCATGATTGGGTGAGATGAAAGAAATTGATAGTTTCTCTTTTTGTAAATTAGAGCTGAAACATTGGACCAAATTCCCTGCTGGTGTAACTCAGTGCTGCTCTACTGAACATGAGCCCATTATTTTTATGGACTGAAGTCATGGGCACAGGATTATTTTGCTTGATTAACAGAGCCGGCTTGAGATGCTGCCATTTCCCAGCTGCTTGTTTGTGTCCCTTTGTGGGCAGATGTCCCTCTCTTCCTCAGCAGACCCAGCAGGAGAGATGGTGCAAGCCTTTTTTTCAGTGCAGAGCTGGCCAGGTTAACACAAACTACCTTCGTCAGCAGCTTAAGCTAATTGGCCTGACTTTACACTGACACGAGCAAGGAGGTGGTGACATGATTTATTGCACTGCTGAGCTGGGTGGGAGGGAGGATGCAGAACCAGTATAGGGTTTGGTGTACAGGTAGTGTATGAGCAAAAACAACTGGGAGCATCAGGTGTTACAGCACAAGTTAGAGAAGATCCTTCTCAAGCCCTGAAAATTTGGTCTATCATCACGCTGATACAGAAACTGAAATATTATCGATTTGAACTGAATGTGTCTTTGGGGAAAAAAAAAAATGCTTTCCTAAACATTAACTTCTTAGTAAGCCAGATGCCTAATTGTTCAGCAATTCAAAATTATTTTTGTCTTTAAAGTAAAAGGTTTCAGATCCATTTCCACACCTATGTGGAAGGCAGGGACTATGCACAGTATTTTTCAGCATGCACACACTGCTTTACGGTATGAGCAAAAATTATTTTAAGAGTAAAAGTTACAAGATTTTGTATTTCTCTTTCTTTTGACTTGAGGTCCAGGTTAGCAGAGGCCCCTTGAAGGTAATGTAATGAGTGCTTATTCACCTTTTTGCGCTCTTTACTTCAATATACTGCAGCAGTCTGGGTTTGCATCACAAAAGTTCTGTGGGATATGCCTACCTCAAAAAAGCAAATTATTGTATTGAAGATTTTTTAAAGGGTGTGGAGATATCTCCATGCATTTTAAATTATGCAAAATCTTTATTTTTAAGCATAATTTTTATTTAGTTAACTTTATTATTGCTGTATTAGCTTATTAGTTAACTTATTGCTGTATTTTCATTTAACTGAAAAGATGAGTTTGTCAGTTATCATTTAGGTTGCCCAGAGAGGCTGTGGAGTCTCCTTCGCTGGAGATTTTCAAAACCCACCTGGACGTGATCCTGTGCAATGTGCTCTAGATGACCCTGCTGGAGCAGGGGGGTTGAACTAGCTGATCTCCTGAGCTCCCTTCCGACCTCAGCGGTTCTGAGATTCTGTGATTTAGACTGTAGACCTTTTTTTTCAATGTAGGGTTTTGAAACATGAGATAGGATGGTGGACCTTCACCTATTCAAATACCTTTGCATTTATATTTTTTTTTCTCTCACTTTAGAACTTAAGATTTAGCTTTAGATATATTATTATAAATTCTTAATTCTTACCAATGTTTTGTCTTGAATAATTAGTTGATCAAGCAGAGCTGGCTCTTGCCAAATTAAAAGCAAAAAAAAAAAAAAAAAGAGAAGAATTTGCTATGCAGATTCTTGTAACTACCAGCAATTTATCTTTCCTTGTGGTTCCCACTTTCACCATTAGTATTTGAAAGCAGGGTTTCTCCAGGGTATGTGATCACCGAGTAACTCAAATGATTAGTAGTGGAAGATGAGGAAAAAATTCATTAATAGCTAGCCATTTTGAATCAGCCCAGAAGCTATGATGAACATTTACTCACTTCTGGCAGGTCCCCTGTGGCCCATCTGGAACAAATTACTTTTCTTGGCACTGTTTTACTCAGAATGTAAACTCTTTGGGGCAGTGTACAGTAGCTGGCACTAGCCTTGATCTCCAGCTGGGCTCCCTAAGTACTACAGCAGTAAAAATAAGGAGTAATTAGTTTGTAGCAATCACAGTCCCAAATGGTAGCCTGAATAAGGGAAGGATTAGGATAGGGGTAGAGAATTTTTCTTCTGTCTCTGAGGAGCAGAGGGGGAATGTAGGCAGTGTGTTATTGATTCTCCAGTCGTGTTTTTCTGGGGTGGGAACTTCTCATCTTTGGTCTCCATGCAAAAGATTCGGTAGAAGAATTTTGGTAAAATCTATTCAGATTTTGTGACTTGATTCAGCAATCACGCTGAATCAACATCATCGCAGATTGGCACAGCAAATAAGCATGTATCTAGACTGTGATTCCACAGGGATCGCTACCAGATCTGTGCGCTGCTAGATCAATTGGCAATACAAATTTGGTCTGGATCAGACATGAGTACGTGATCTTCATGGTTCTGTCAGATTTGCTGGCTCATGCATAGCAGTCTTTGTGCGAGGTGGGGTACATCTGGCCTGTGTACACATCTGCATCTAAACAAGTCATCCTGAACTCCCTTCGCAGTCAGTTGAGACCAAATCAACAGGGTTGATGGAGTTTAGGGCACATTTTACCTCATTCTGCAGTAGGCACTTACGTTTCAACAGGTGAATCCTTGTGTTGAACAACTGGCTCAGGCATGGATATGCACTTTACAGACATGTCAATGGATTCAGTCCCAGGCTGAGGCATCTAAATGAGTAGATGTCCCAATGGATGCTGGCCAACAAAGGTCCCGTTAGAGTCAGTGGAGATCTAGTCTGCAGCCACTGGAGCTTGACTTGCCGTAATGCAAGGGATGAGATTCAGTTGCATAAAAGTAGGTGTCTAGTATCATTTAAGTGCTTGAGTATCCCTCCCAGCCTCTGTCTGTTGCTCCAGAAGGTTGCAGGCCTCCTGTAAATGGTGTGTCACATCTGCCAGCCCTGAACAGGTCTCTCCGTACCTTAGGTCATCCCAAGTGGTTCTAGGTGCCTATGTTTAAGCAGCTGAATCCTGTCTGTATAGGTTGGTGAGGTACACCATTTCTTTCCTCCACTGCCTGCACTGACTAGACATCTGCTTAGTGTCATAGGAGCGTGGATACCTAGTGCACGAGCAGACACCTAAATATATGTGGTTTAATCTCAAAATGAATCCCAGGCCTGGTACAGCATATTGCATTGGATCTGGCTGTCCACTGATCTGATTGCTGATGCTGTCCTTGTGGTCTTCTGGGAGTGTCTGTGAGCGGCTCCACTAAAGAAGCAGCCCTACTATCAAAGGTTAGTCACTACTTTGGAAGAAACTTCTGGTAACACACTGCAGTGGTTCTGCAGAGTCACTTGCATCTCAGCAGTGTAACGATTGCTCACTACTTTTACTTCCCTGTTTTGTCCCCAAAACACAGAAGCGTTGATTAGAGCAGTGCTTCTACAAGTGGAAATGCAGATGTGCTAGTCCCTGAACCAGGAACACTCTCATCTGGTCAGTGTGTACTGTGTACAGAGAGATGGGCTGCAAGCAGAACTGGACCCATACCACTATCTGTCTCACTGGCTCTTCTCTTTCATGATGAGGAAATTGATAATTGGTGCAGAGACTTGTGCTGTAAAGGCAAGATGAGCAACGATGTAGGCAGAACTTTGAATGAGTGAAAAGACCGTGTTTGTTGATGTGCCCGAAATCACCTCCCTGCTCCTCCAGGGCGTTGATCAGTGTAATAGTGGCTGAGAGAAGTGAAGAATTGTTGGCTCTGATCATCTGAAAACCTCTAGTTCCCACCGATCCTGTTTATCTGACTTCTTACATCATTTCTAAACTAGTAAGTCAGAAAGTCAGTAGTGACCAGGCTAATTCATGCTGTCTGCAGGTACTGGACGTACACTAGGTTATTCCGTGCTTCATATTTGCTGACGTGGTCTTCACCAGCTGTACTGAGGTTACGAATAGGACACGCATGCCTATCCCTTGTGCCTGAGCCTGTCCTTATTCTGTAAGTGCAAGACAAATGTTCTTCCACAGTGCAGCTAGCTTAGGAAGGTGAATCAAGGAGCCCAGCATTTGGAGCCTTAGAAAGCTATAGGGCCAAGGACACTGCATTTGCTGTTTGCCTCCATCCATCACTGTCTCTGTCCTTCTCTGGATGCAAGAATGCGTCAATTCCAGTAAAGCAAAAATAAGGCAAGCAGTGAATGGAGAAGGGGAAGAAAACAAGAGAGAAGACTGTTTGATAGTTGTAGCGAGTTGTTCTGTGTGTCCAGACCCAATCCCAGAGGGCAAGAACTTGTAGCCAGCGAGGAAGGGGAATGCCAAGGACAGGGATCAGGAGAAAAGCTGTGATGGCTCTGACTGCCACTCGCCACTCGCGTGGCTGATGTGATGCTGATAGAAGTTTGCTGTGGGTCAGCAAAAGTGCTCAACATCAAAGCCAAAGGTAGCCTGAGGATTGCCAGCTCTGATGATGTTACTGCTTGTGAACAGCGAAACTCCTGTGCAGAAGCAGCAATTTAAGCAATTTAAGTCACCAAAGAAACCTGATATCGCAGGGGACTGTAAGGGGTGCATGTCTGCTATCTAAAGGTCAGTGCTGTAACCCCTGATGTATTAGCTGCTGCTCAACGTACAATCAGCAACTATTTGTTGAAGGAGAGACCTCAGTCCTGTCCACCTTGTCTTTACTGCATGAGTTCCTGTTTTGAATAAGAAATGGTTTTGTTCAGTGTTTCTTGCTGCACTGGCATTGTATGATGAAGTGGCGAGCCCTGGGAGTAGTTTATCAGAAGTCAGATGTAAGGCGATGGAGCAGGATAGATGGTTGGTTAGGGGATTGAGACCAGCTAGTGGGATTGTTCTGCGTGACTTGATAGGGCTTAGCTATGGAGCATAAGGAAGCTTAAAGAAAAAGTGGAAATGCAACATAAGGCCTGCTGAGGAGTTCCACACTGTCCCTTTGGCAAAATACTCAGGACCCAGAAATGGAGGTCCAAAAAAACTAGAATAGAGGAAAACAAAAATGAACAGCTTGTTCCCTTCGCATCTGGCAGCTGCAGAAGATCTTCCTTATTGGAGGTGGTTGCAGTCCAAGCACATTTTCAGCTCTTTGGCATATTCTTGAAGGGCCCCACATTCAAAGAAATTCCAATCCTGAAAACCTTTCCCAGTGGTTGCTCTCCCACCCCTCCCTGTGGTTTAGTCATCATCCTTGTTCATATCTTCCTAGGCAATGACAAGGTGCCTTTCAGCAAAGGGCGCCCATAGACATTTTCCCAGTGAATCCCCAGTTGTTGATGTCCCGGTTTGAGATGAGACCAAGTGGTGAGCAAGGATCCTCCCAGTCCTTGACCACATTTGTAGCTCCATTTTGGAGCCTTAGCCTTGTCCCTTCACTGTTACAGGACTAAAGAAGCATTGATTCCCTTGCAAAGATTCTCTCTCTGAATTAATCATCAAGTCCACTACACGTGGACAGCTCAGCACTTGTGGATGCAACACTAGAGTTTCCATTGCAATTGGATTTGGGTCAGGGTCTGGGCCTGGTTGACCGGTCATGCTGTCATTTGGTATTGGCCCCAGACACTGTAACATGGTGGACTTTGAGGTGATTGGAGATGAGGTGTCTTGGTAGCAAGAAAAGAAAGGCCCATTATCAATAAGTATCCACGTAAAAAGAAAATATATGGGCACAGGCCTAACTGAGAGAAGGGATGACACCAGGGTACATCTTAAGATGATGGCTTCAGGGTCCTGGGAGCAGGAGGGGACTGGTGAGATGGTCTTGGCTGAGGGAAGGCTAGTACTGAAGAGCATCAGGTACCTGTTACTGGGTGCATTCTACTGGACTGAAGTTGGCTCGTCACTATTTTTTTTAATAAATTCAGCCCAATTGAATTTGTGCTGATTCAGCTTTTTTGCATCTGCAGCAATTTTAACTCAATCCTAGGCACCTTGAAACTGGATTTAACATCTTGTGGAGGCGGTGTATTAATTCAAACACTGGCCTATGCTGAAAAGTGATGAGATTGTTAAAGTTAAGAAGTACTTAAATGTCTTGCTGAAATGGTGGATCAAGAGACGTTATTTTTTTAAAAGATATGGATTGCAAATGGTTTAGAGATGAAAGGAGATACGTAAGTGTGGAAAAAGTGCTGATTCTATATTTAATTAGGACAAGTTAAATCAGGAGGGCTACCTTTAGTAGGGTGTTTCCCACCAAACTTAATCAGTCCAATGATAGTGAATGTTAAAAATTACTAATTAGAATTTACAGTCAGATTGTGTCTGAATAATAACTGGGGATGAATTTAGTTAGTTACGAAGTAGCTAAATGGTGTTTAAGCATGTGTTTAACAAGAGTTGAAAGCCATGATTTAGACCTTTAATGTACAAATTGATAAATCATTCAGTCTAAGGGAAGATGTTCCTGGATATTCAGGAAATTTGGGATGACTTCTGCCACAAACCAACTCTATTCTGGAATCAATGACTCGTGAAGATCTGTGTTCTCGTCTGAGCCATGCCACAGCTTTCCTGCATAAGAGAATAACATAGGATTTAATTTTCAGTGCTCCAGTTTCACCATTAGAATAGAGGCACAGTATTTACCTTTTCTTGTGGGAAGGCAATACCGAGATATTTAAAGTATGAATACTTCTAGATAGATACTTTAGGATCACTTGAAGGAACTCCTGAACTGAAAGGTGCAATTATTTTGTGTTGTTGCTTGTTTGGTTTTACTGATTTTCACCTTCTCCTTTCCAGGTGAAGCCAACCAAGGACTCTGTGTACTTTGGAGCACTTCTCTTTCTCTACACAGGTGATTTCTATCTGAATATCAAATTCCATGAAGACAACTGCAGCAGGGAGCTCCCTCTCTCCTGGTTCTGCCTTCCTAGTGTCCACATCCGTGCGATGGAGCCTGTGATCCAAACTAAGCTGTAGATGTACTGTGTGCTGTTTGATTAACCGCAGTGCACAGAAATGCTTGGCACAGTCTCTGCTTGACCCCAGCTTGTTTCTGTCCAGCCCCCGGCCACAGTCCCTACTTTGGAGGAACAGCTGAACGCTTTCTGAATTGGCTGATAGTCATTTGGGCAGCTGCTTTAGCTAATTTCAGAGAGAGAGAAAGACAGATTATAAATATGCTGGAGTTCTCCTCTGTTTCCAAAAAGCCTTTGAAACAGCTAATACATGCATTATGCTTTCATACACCCCATTAATATCAGCGGATTTGAAAGGGTCTTGAGGGCTGAATTTAACCATGTATTTGAAAGTATCAATTCCAATTTGAATAATCCTTCTTTATTGTTTTAGCAAGAGTTGTGTATCTATATTAAATGCCTCCTGGTGCACAATGAACCCTTGTGTACCTTTGGGGTGTAGTTGTCTCTCGCACTTATTCCCAGGGTTGTTCTTATTCCACTTGTTTGTTGAGTATTTGTTGTCTTCAGCGGTAAACAGTGGTAGTGATGCCTTTCGCTGTGTTACTTAGTGAAAGTAAGAATAGCAAATGTGCCTCCAGTTATTCTCTTCTTCACCTGAGCTCAGTGCCTCTGCTCCTGGTGGAGTCATTGCCTTTTGTCTGGTAGATACGTGAACATGAAAAGAAGGATGGCACAGAAGAGCAAAATTTTTGCCCTTGAGAAAGGAAATAAGCCAACTATTGGGTTGCTGGGGGCTAGCCTATGAATTCAGCTTATGAATTTGTGTTTCAAACAATCACAGCCACCAGGAACATTTGCAGACCCTTAAAAAGTGCCACCAAAATTAATCAGCTGGCCATTATTATCACTTTGTGTGAGTTTTGGCAAACTCTTCTGATCAGGTTTTTCATGCTAATAGACAGAGTTTGATTATGTGGTTGGTTTTGGGGGGGTTGGGTTTTTTTTTTTTTTCCGGTAGAATGATTAAGTTTAGTTATTAGGCAATTAAGGCCATGGAATTCCTGACCGTGAAAGTAGTTGCTAAATGTACTGAAAATTTAACCACTTGTTTTTCCAAATAATGCTTTTGCATAAAGAAATCTGAGTTTACTCCATGCAAAGCAGGGTGATATTTCATCTATATGATTTCTAAGTTACTTCATGGACCATAGGTTTCAAACATGGCTCAATCTTTTCTTAGGTTTACGGCCTGCAGCTGGTAAAAGTGGTGGTAGAACAGTTATTGGGGATGAACGCACCCAGATGTGGTGGGATGTTCAAGTTATCTCTATCTGTGCTAAACCTAGAGGCGCAACCTTTTTTGCTTAGGCTTCATCCAGATGTGGATGCGCCACTTCATGCCTGCAGTGGTATGTCTGCTCACGCCATGGAGCACTAGGCTGGATAGCCACTCGCTCTGAGTCTCTGCACCATGCTCAGTTGTACTTGTAGCTATGACTCGTGTTTTTCAAAGGAACGTGACAGTGCTTAAAACTCGATTCATTGCATGTTTGCAAATGACTGTAAGGTATGGAGCCTAAATATTTTCTTCAGTTGAGGGAACTGTAGCTATAGCATGATAGTTATATTTCCAATGTGTTCAGGGTATTATCTCTCAATCTGTATTGTGGCAACTTCATCAGTGTTTGCTCTTGAGCTGTGGCTCTCTACAGGGCTTTGAATTGCAGAGTAGAAGTCTTTGGACTTAAAATGATGGAAATCTGAGGCTGAATGAACCTGTAATGATTTGCAATGATTTGCTACTCTGTCAGCTGCCAGTGAGCAGTGTCCTGTAACAAAACTGTTCCCTAGAGTTGCACAGTGGCTCTGGGCCAGAGACACCAGTGGGAAGAGGGTCCAAGCAGCAGAGCTGGGTACGTCCTGTGCCGTGAGGCTGAGTCTCTGTCACTAGATATACACATAATAAGATCCCAGGAGAGCAGGAATTAAACCAGTTACTCTTCTCCATAAAAGCTTGCTTTTGACATGTGTCTCTGTACTATGTTACACAACACTGTTGCAGCAAAATCCAAATTGTGTTTTATTCAGTATTCCCAGCAGGTAGTCTGCAGATGCTAGGAATACAGCTAAGGCTTTATACCACATTGCATTTGAGGCAAAAATATTGTGAAGCAGATATTATTGCAGTCAGGATGCTTCAGCTTACCCAGCTAAGGGAGCTTGTCATAGTTTGGCTTTGAGAGCAGTCCCTGAGAACAGAGGGTGTTGTTCGGTGAAGCCTGTGCTGAGGTACAGCACGCATGTGCCCTTTGCTTATAAAGGGCTGATCCACAGCCCATTGAAGCTCTTGAGTGCAAAGAGGTCTTATTATAACAGAATAAAGCTGCATATTTCCTAGGCTTCCAACATGCCATTATAAATCTGCAATATGTGCTCGTAAATATAAGCATTTAAGTGTGAGCTGACCCTTAATGGTCTCCCCATTTATTATATAGTATACTGCTCTGTTGCTTGTCAACTTTGATGGTTAGTTGCTTTTTACATTTATGATAGCTTTCCCAATTTTCTTACACTTCTACTTGTATTGGTGAGAGAGATGAAACACAAGAAATTCTTCCTTCTGGGGATCATTTGTGACTTGAGAAGGAGAATGTAAAAGTGTCAATGTAATTTGGAGAAGGGAGAGGGGAGAGTATTTTAGAATGAGAATACCGTGTGGCTTTTTGTTTTCTTTTTAATGGAAGCTTTCACTGAAATTGCTGTCAGGATTGCTACTTGCAGTGGCTTGAATAAAGGATGATACTTTTCTGATCTGCTCTCCCTTTCTGGAACTGAAAACTTGTTTTTATTTCTCTGAACCACCCAGCTATTATTTTGAACATGATGAGCCAATCTGTGCATTGTTACACAGCTGTAAATCTGATATGATCGCACTTTGAATTAAATCGTTCCTAATTTAAATCATCATTGCTGAGAGCAGAAGTTGATCCAATATAGGTATGTGTTGGAGAAGCATGAACTATGTAAATTTAATTATCTGAATAAATGCTTATCTTGTGTTATTTACACCTTTGCCTGTCTCTTCTGTCTATAATTCTTGTTAGTGCTCATATGTTTTTATTGTTAATAATAATATATCCCATGGTGCTGTCTTCTGTCCCTGAAAGGAGAATGTATGTGACCCTGGAACTGAAATTTCAGCTTCATTCAGACTTTATCTTCCCAGATGAATTTAGAGCTGATGAAAGATGTAAGCTTCATACTGCAACTCCCATGTCCGTCTCCACCAAGCAGGTTCAAAGTGAGCGGAGGCAAGGTGAGCCGCCCAACACTGGCTGACCAACCCTTCTTAACTGTGAGCTGAGGGGGAGAACAATGCAAACTCCCCAGGATGTTAAGCGTGCCTTGCGGCGCTCTGAGTTTATAATTCAGCTCTTTCAGCACAGGTGGGAAGCGGAGGCTTTCCTACAGTAGGTGCATGCTTTGCAGAGATTTTTTAAACACTAATGCCCTGAGTTAGTACAGCAGATATACAGATCTAGACTATGGTCATATGTGTTTCTCTGCCTCCTTTACCTCTGCAGGTTACAGCATTCTGGGGATTGCGTCAGGGTCCTTGGGTTGTCCAGCATCTTTCCTGCTGGTTTGCCTTCTCTCCCTTGCTCACCTCATCCTTTCCACCGTCTCTTCCAGTGTTCTGCTTTCTGTGGTTGGTCCCAACAGAAAGGATTAACATTTCTTTTTCTTTTTCTCTCTCCTTCCTGTGCCCTTCTATCAGAGACCTCTTAACACTTGGGTCATCTTCTGGGGAAAAAAATAATGTTTCAAACCCTATTCCAGTTGTTAAGCTGGAGTTTGGCTTTCACATCCTCTCTTAGAAGAATCTCAGGATGCTTCTGTTGAATGGGACCTTAACTATTTAATAACCGTCTGGTGTTGCTTGTTGGAGTGATGCTTAGGCTAGTACGTTCATGTTGCATCAGTTTCATAACACTAGTATAATATGTAGATGACAGGACATCAAAAATATATTGATAACTTTTTGTCCCTATGTTCCTGATTCAGCAAAATATTTGTGTGCCTAATCTAAAACACATGGGTAGACCACAGATTGTAGCCAATTCAGAGTCACGTATCTGCCTAGGGAACTTGCTAAACCGGTGCCTAGGTGTTCAATCTGTATTTGAACCCATAAGTTTGAAATTAAGGCTCCTGTCCCATTACCAGTTGCACAGGTCATCTTATTTTTGGATCACCGCTGGCTCCTGGGAATGATGGTACAAGTAGGAGAAGTCTCATCAAAATCAGGCACTGTCATTTTAATGCTTCAGGGACATATATACTATGAGTCTGGAAGTACAGATGATCCTTCCAGGGCAGTGTATACTCAGAGTGTAACTATACAAACCACAGTAATGAACCTTGAGGGTATAAATCATATGAATGGACCTGCATTCCCTGCATTGGGAAACTGCATTATACCGAAAGGCTACGCCTGGAGCTGTGTATTAGAAGAGGCAGTGCTCTTCCACCTCCTGCTTGCAGTTCCTCTTCCAGATGTTCCTCTTCCAGGCCAGGTAGCCAGTACAGGCTGTGCTATATCTCCTCTCTGCCTCTGCAGCTCCATATGCGCAGGAAATCTCCCTGGTAACTACCCAGAAACTCTACTCACCAGTCAGAAATTACCTGGCCTGAGCCATAAGGGAGGGTTCTCCTTATGCGCATGTTAACAGTGAGGAAACACAGCACCACTGTTTTGGAGTGGTGGATCCTCTGAAGAGAAGAATTTGTTAACATCCCATGTGCTCTTATATCACGGCAGAAGAAGGGCTAATTACAGCCCCTTCTCACCATGTGTTCAATTTGAACAAAGCATCATAGATGTTGCCATAAGGAAATCAGGCCAGCTGTTTAAATGTTTTAGCAATGAGTATCTTGTTAATGGATGTGAGGATGCCATCACTGATCAGCATCGGAAACGTGGCCCTTCTGTTACCCGGAGACTGCCCATTTTCCTACAGAACTGACCAGGACTACGGCTGAAATGATGCCACACTAATCCTGGTTCAGTGTAGGCATCTTGCTGCCACCTCCTTTCCCATCAGCTCACATCCAGAGCACAGATGCCAAGATGTAGCCCACCTACGTGAAGCATTTTGTTCTAAGAGCTAGTTTGGGTCGTTAGCTGCCTGAGGCTGTGGGGAGACAGAGTTAAGCATCTCCAAGGACCCTGCTAATATCTGAATCATCCTCTACAGGAACCTGTTTTGGACATGTAAGTTGCTAATTTGGAGTGTAGCTTCATGTTGCTTTTCTGTTGGGTGAGTTGTTATGGACCCTAGAGGTTTTCCACTCTCTCCCTTACACCGACAAGCATCCTCCCTCCATCCCTTTGCCAGATCAGCAGCCCTGATTCACCTCTTGGGTTGGCTATGGCAGACTGAACCTGGACAATGATTTGGTTTGCAAAGGGAAAAGAAAAGGCGGAGGAGTGTTTTCCTCGCCAAGGATGTGTGTGTGTGGGGGGGGTGTTGATGTGGAATTTGGTCCATGCACAGACTGTTGAAGCCTGTGAGGATGCAGCATCCCAGATAGACAAATTTGCAGTGCTGTTCAGGGTGGAAAGTGGTAAATTGGCAGTGGGAGGAAGGGCAGGTTGAAAAGGAGAGCAAAGTGGCATGGGGCTACAACCAGAGATGCCCAAAGCTAAGTAAGATGAATCAAGGCCAAATGGCTTATGTAACTCCCACTACATTAAAAATAGGTTACACTGTATATTAAGATTTCATTTATAAATTGTTTATAAAGCATTCATAAATGTTAGATGCTGTAAGCACGTTATACTCACGAATACTTCATGTTCCAACATTATTGATGGCTCTATATACAGCTGCAGCAGATATTATAGATGGTTAAGTCACAGCTCTAGAGACCAACAGTTCAATAGCAATATACAATAAATGATTCATCAATCACTTAAACATGTATTAAGCATTTATATGTTCTTTATAAATGGAACCTTAATATGAAGTGTGACCTTAAGATGTGTGAAACAGGGAACTTTTCCCTTTCATCTTTCTTTTCTCCTAAAAAAAAAAAATTTAAAAACCCTCCCAGATCACTTCTTTAATAATGGTTGTACTTTCCTCCACCTCTGACTTGAAAGAGGCCACAGGCTTCTGAGAATTAAAAAAAGGCTCATGGAACAAGGCCAATGGAGCATTTGGCCAACGCAGCTCTGCTCCGCTAGCAAATACGTTTTGTGTCAGTGTAGGAGGTTGGGCTCCAGGGAGGCAGAAGGATGTCACCTTGCCAGCTTTTGGCTTTGCTCAGGTGGATTCCTGCAGCTCCTGGAAGGAAGCACAAGAGCAAAGGTAATAGTAAGTGTCACTGCAAAGCCCAGAACAAAAGAGCTGTGAAAATGAGATTTGAACAGGGTAACTGAATTCATGAACGTAAGCCCCCCAGCCAGCTCTGTGGTGTTTGCTTCTGGAGAAGATGCCACCAGAGAAGATGCCACCACGGCAGACCCCAGACGTGAGGAGGCAAGGGAGGGAGGTTTCTGGCTCCCTGCCATGGTGTCTGAAATCCAGAGGAAGGAGTAAAGCCTGCCTATCCCATCCCAGCTTCCTCCTGCAGAGCTGAGCCACGTGAGGCAGCAGTGGAGGAAACCAGAGAGAGCACTAAACTGTTGTTGCTGTTAGTGGAGGAGATACAAGTTGTTCCTGTCTTCCTGCACTTTGCTGAAGTGCTGGCCAGGGCTATGTCTTTACAAGCATCTTCAGGAGGGCTCTGGCCCTGGACAATTGTATTCAAAATTGTGTATAAATATTGGCCTCTTCCAAGTGGCTTTAGAGGGAAGCCCTGCAGTTCTTGGTTAATGAGCATTTAAATTTAGCCCCGAGAAGAAGCACCAAAAAGACAAAATATGTGCAAATGCTTTGGAATATTATTTTCAGTACAAATATTGGTTAAATCGACCAGTTCTTCCCCTTTCCACCCCTCTCCAAATGTTGCTGCTGTTGAGCTCAGAACAAAAACACTTCCTCTGAAGAGAGTGGTCAGCCCATACTGACGGCTTGGGGTCATGCGGGCTCTGTGAGAAGAAACGACTGAAGGGACCAGTGATGTTGTTAACACAATGTTCTTCATTTAAACTGGCTGGATGTGAAGGGGAGCCATGTGATGAGCTGTCGCCATTTACAGGGTAGTCAAGTCGTTCCCCAAAAGCCTACTTTTTGCCATTGGCTTTAAAGTGAGGCCACAGTGACTAGATACGGTGGGGATATCTACTTATCAGACCGCTGCATTCAGGTGAGCTAAAGCCCACTGAAAAGAAGACTCTTTGCCTGCTCCCCATGCCAGATCCTACCTCATTCTTCTGATATAGTACATCCACATGGACAGCTTATGTGAAGTGGCTGGTGAAGGTGCAAAGCAAGAGCAAATCAGTCAAAAATGTTCTCAGCCTTCATATTTTTTCAAGTGTTTGCACACACATGCCTAACCAAAGCCCCAGGATAAATGGTAAATCAGTAGCCATGCGTATCAAATAATTGTCAGCCACTGAGTCACTCACCCTCTCATTTTCAATGAAAAATCTTTAGGGAGAAAAAGATCCACCATTTATTGAGGGCCATCAAGTTGTTCTGAGGCAGCAGAGCTAGCGAAGCCAGCTCTCCTGTAGCTCTGTCTCTCCCGCTTGGAGGCTTTGACTGATAAGGTGCAAACACCTACTAAAGTCACCACTGGTGTCCTCCCTCTCTCCTAGCCTCTCAGAGAATCTCTGATGAGCCCTTAGTCTGTCTCTGACTACGGGTCATCTCCGTTTTCATATACCAGGGTAGACGTCCATTTCATAAACCTGGCAGAAACTTCATGTTTTTGAGACAATCCTTTCCACCCTCAATGCCTTGGCCCATCAAATATGGATCAAATTACCCAACGTGTTTAAAAGTTGTAAAAGGACCCAAGGAGGGCACAAACAGCACAAAGGTATTTCTACTACTTCCACATTTCTTTGGAAGTAGTAGAAATAACACTGTGGTTAACAACAGTGAACTGTG